GTGGTCGCGCTAAAGATATTTAGAGCATGAACTAAAAGTTCAAGCAACATCTTTAGGATGGGTCAGTCCGGCATCCTATTATCTCTAGATAATATCTGCCCATGTGCGGATGCGAACACACTGTCATTGACTATGAGACTAAGTCAAACATCCAACACACACTAGTCTCACATGCATTAACGATATCCCACTCTCGTTAGTACTCGACTATGGACATTCAGATAAATATTTATTTCAAGATGTTAGTCTCATCAGCAGAATAACACTATCTGATAAACATCTTTAAATATAAATCTAGGAATATAATATTTGTTTACATTAGCATGAGATGTGTAAACATATTATATCTGCCTAGAGATGATAGAATAATGATAAACAGTTGGCCATCAGGGCACAACTCCAACAATCTGTACAGAAATCAGTTCCCTGTAACCTCCATTTGAAGTTCTTACAAGTATACTGGCATTTTAATGTACTTCCATCTGCTACTATAACTGGTTGTAGTGATATAGGCTCCAACTTGCATCCCAACTTCTTGGCCAGCTCAATAACCAGGAAGTTATGGGTACTACCAGAATCCACTAGAATTTGGATGGCCTTCTTCCCAAAATGTCCAGTGACCCTCATGGTTTGGTAGCCTGCAATTCCATTAACAGCATGGAATGAGATGCAAGGTTCTGTCTCCAGTATCTCAAAATTGATGTTTTCATCAAGGGCTTCCCCTTCACCTATGTCATCATCCACTTCATCTCCAGGAATCTCTACCAAGAATAGTTGTGTTTTCCTGGTGGCGCACTTGTGCCCCCTTTCATATGGTTGATCACAAAAGTAACATAGACCCTTAGCACTCTTCTCTGCCCTTTCTGCTGCGGATAAAATCTTAGTGGGTCTGAAACTCCTTGCATTACTGTTCACTAATCCATTATTACTACTCGCCGGAGCAAAACTGTTGCTAGTTTGACTCTTGTAGCCACTGAAAGAGTTGTTACCATTATATGATATATCTCCCTTAGGCGTAGGCAACAAGGCAGTAGATTGAAATGGTTTAGGGTTTGTCCTTGACACATTTCTAGTGGCTTGCACTGCATCCTCCTGTAACCTGGCAAACTGTACAGCCT